AAAGCTTTTTTCTAAAATAAGCATTTTATTTAGCCATTAACATCATGACAAAAACTTTAAAATAGTATATATAATAAATATTTAGATAATATTATAAAGCCAAAGAATTATGACATTAGTGGCAATAACATAGTCCTTCAATATTTATTTTTCTTCTGTTCCATATGAGGTGCTCTTCTGACATGAGACAGATTTTGAATTTTCCTTTAACAAGCATGCTTGGGTTTAGAGAAGGAGAGATTCACCCCCAACTCCAAAGCCAGCTTTAATCTTTAATAGGAGTGAGACTACAAAAGAACCATTGCACCATATGTCTATAGAGAAAAGCAGAAACAAACATGTGGGAGGATTTATGAAATTTTATCCTGTTGGAAATATGATAGACTAATAGACCAATTTACTACTTTTCTTGGGACAGTTTTTCTGGATTATTTGTCCCTTTTCTTCAGATGTCTCAATTGTCCAGTGGTCTCTGGATTCCTTAGCTTGATACCTTTATTCTCCTAAAAAGACAAAAATAAAACTCTTCCCCAGCCCTAATTTTGGGGAAGTTCTCCTTTGGCAAGATGTAGCTGATCAAATGAAAAATACTTGTAAGTTAGTTTTGATAAAACGGCCATGTTGCTCGATGAACTATCATCTCTTCTAATTAAGAGCTATCTTGTTCAAATACCATCAAATATTTATTAATTTTGATGGTATCCAGAGCTTCTCTTCACCCGTGGAAACAAAAGCAAAGGCTCTTCCCCAACATGACACATGTTTTGGCTTCCATTCAGAGATCAAGACATCTTTAAAGTATATAGACTAATTTAATTCCATAGTTCTTTCTATTCTGTGTCTCTCTTAGGCTGTTGTTCCTTTCTCATTAGCATTCAGAACATTCAAAGTTAATAAAGCACTATGCCATCTATTTCTGGGATTCTTTATCATCCCTTTCTGTTTATTTAGTATGTCCTTTCGAATTCAATTTGATCTTTCTATAACTGCCTGCCCTATAGGATTGTGTAGTATACCTGTAATATGCTTTATATTTTAATAAGCAGAAAACCATTTCCTTTTATTAAAGACATATGCTGGAGCATTGTCTGTCTTTATTTGTACAGGTATCCCCATGTTGGCCATAATGTCTAGCAAATATGTAATTACTGAATCAGCCTTTTCAGAACTCAAAGCAGTTGCCCATTGAAAATCCGAATATGTTTCAATGGTGTGGTGTACATATTTTGATTTTCCAAATTCTACACAATGGAACATATCCATCTGCCAGATTTCATTCCTTTGTGTACCCTTGTTCATGTAGGTAGTGGAGTTTGGTTGTACAAACAACAAATAGGACATTTCCTTATAATTTTCTTGGCTTGCTGCCATGCGATGGAAGAGTCTTTTTCAAACCTTTACTATTGAAATGGTGATTTTTATGAAATTCTGAGGCCTTTAGCACATTTCCTATCAATAGTTGGTCAATTTCATGACCTGGCAAACCTGTATGGGATCAGATGTGTGTTATATATGGGATGATTCCTGTCCCCAAGTATGTCTTTTAACTGAATAAACAATGAAGTCAATTCCATATCATTGCTATAAATTCAGTGGTTCTAATATATAAAACAACTCTTTCTGCATATTATAAATCACTATGTTGAGAGGTTCTTTGTGATCCATTAGCACCATGAGGATAACATATAATTCTGACTTTTGGACAGAACTATAGGGACTTAGATCCACTTTACTTAAATTTTCTGATTTGTATCCTGCCTTTCCTGATTTATTTGCATCAGTATATAGGGGCTCCAGTTACTGGTATTTGCCTTACAATTCGAGGAAGGATCCAGCTAGTTCTCTTTATAAGTTGAATTCTCTTGCTTTTGGAATAATTGTTGCTAATCTCTCCCCAAAATTACCACAAGCTCTTTGCCAGAGTTCACTTTCTATCCATAATTTGTCAATTTCATCATTAGTAAAAGGTACTATAATTTCTATTGGGTCTATTCCTGCTAATTGTTGAAGTCTCAATTTTCCTTTTAGAATCAACTCGGAGATCTTTTCCACATGAGTTTTAAATTTTTTACTCAGTTGATGTGGTAAAAATATCCATTCTATGATAATACCTTCCCCATGTATTAAAATCCTGCAAGGGAATGCTTACAGAGGGCGATATGAACAGAATGCAGTTAAGCTTTGGGGCCCTGTGACCCACATAGACAACCTGTATTTTCTGGTCCTCCAAAGCCAGCTCTCTCTCAGCTTCAGCTGTAAGTCCCTGGGACTATTTAAGTCCTTGGTACCATCTAAAGGTTTTTTTTTTTTTTTTTTTTTTTTTTTTTTGTGTGTGTGTGTGTGTGTGTGTGTGTGTGTGTTTTGTTTTGCTTTTATTAAATAATTGATCAGGTTTTTTAAATAAATTTTATTTAAATTAGAAACAATCTTATTTTACATAT